GCCTCATAAAACACATAGATAAAAATCAATATTCTATCTCAAAATAGTAATGTGTGCATATTGCAGGAACAGTCTCCAGTCAGCCTTGAGTTGTTAAAGATAAGTCAGTGTTCATTTCGGTTTTAATTAAAAATTCTTTGATCACTCTCTTATTTATAATTCTGGCAGAATGAAAGCAATTTTACACTTTTGAGGGATAGGAAGGAGAGGAATCCATAAATAGATCATGGGAAACAAAAGGAAACAAAGTTACGTTTGACTGGTCAGAGTGGAATCTACCTAGTGAGTCCTTTATGATTGGTAAAGTCTCTGGTTTTGTTTATATCTGGTCTGAACTGTTTGATTTGGAGCTAGGCAAACGCATAAAAGCCGAGCTAGCTTCTACCTCCCAGTCTTCCTTCCTTAGCCACCAGCGCACTGGGATTTCTGACATGCACAGTCAGCTCTCACTGTTTAGCCTGGGCTTTGGTGTGCTTACCCAGACGCCCAGAGCGCTAGGCTTTCTCAGCCTAACAGCAATGAGAGAACCTCTCTCACACACCACACTCGCTTTCTAAATTATGTGTGGACACGAGCGCAGGCTCCCATGGAAGACCGGAAGCACTAGAGTCCCCGGAGGTGGAATTATTAAGGGTTGTGAGCAGCCAGAATGAATGCTGGGGACCCAAACTCTCCATAGCAGTCAATAGATTCTCTGGACCACAACCACTGAGGCATCTCTCTACCTCTCTCCCGTTTCTTTAAAAAGTCTTTGGGAGAATTGGTCGAAATTTGGCTTGAACACCCTTCTCAGTCAATATCAAAGCTGGTTGGCCGGTGACTTGGACAGGAACTAGTGAGCCATCCATGTCAGGCTCGTTAAAGAAATCTCTTATCTGCTGTTCAGTCGATAGTTGATATTCCTCTGACCACAATGAGACCTTGTGGCTTTGAACACAGAGATCACATACTTAGAACCTTTATGGGAATGTAGCAGATCAGGGAGGTTCCAATGAGGACCTGGGTAAAGTTGGGGCGTGGTCTATGCAGATTAGGTTCCATGGGGGCGTGGCAGTGTGACGTTCCAAACTCCCAGGTGGCGGGTGCATTTATTGGCGGGGACAAATGGAAGAGCAGGGACTTCCTCCGTGAGGTCATAGGTATGGGCGTGGTCTATGCAGATAAGGGGCGCGCAGGGGCTGCCGAGTCTGCACTCGCCGTGGAAACGAGAGGGATTTGGCGTGGTTCACGTGGGAGGGACCTAGTGTTCCCGGATGGCACTGGGGCCGAGTAATCGGGCGCGCGTCGGGGGAGGCCGTGGAGCGCGCGCAGCGAAGTGACCCTGTGTTTAGAGCGCAGGGCTGGTGTGTCTCAGTCGGGTGTGGTGTTTAGAAAAGCATACTTACCTGGCAGGGGAGATACCATGATCACATAGGTGGTTTTCCCAGGGCGAGGCCCACCCATTGCACTTGGGGTGTGCTGACCCCTGCGATTTCCCCAAATGCGGGAAACTCGACGGCATAATTTGTGGTAGCGGGGGACTGCGTTCGCGCGCTCCCCTGATAATCACAGGAAAAAGTAGATCTTTTTAGACTATTTTTTTTAATGAGACACGGGTACTCTGTAATGTTTTGGAGGCTATCAACCCAGGCCAGCCTCGAGCGACCTTTTTGTGTCTTACTGTTTGCTTACACTCTTACATTCTTTTTATGCATTTTGTAGTTTTTAACTCAAAGAGCTTATTCTTACAACTGTGTCTATAGTCTTGGTGCCACAGGCCAGTCCTTCTCTTGGCTGTCATCTTGTGTGGGTTTCTGCTCTCTGAGAATATTCACACTCCTTTTTCTATGCATCTCCTTGTCTCGTATTTGCCCCCTGCATTGGGCTTCCTCTTCTTTAGTCTCCTCAATTCTCTACCCTTTGCTAGATCTCTACCTGGGCAGGTGTTTCTTATGACTTCTTTTTCCTTGTTCCCCTCACATTTAAAGAAGCATGCTACCACGACACAAAACACTGTCCTACTGGAACCCCTGCTTGACCCTGTAGAAACTGGGAAAGCGCGTCTGTCGTCCTTTCCCAACCCTGCCCACACCGAGAAAACTCTGAACAAAGGAATGGCCCCAAAAGCCCAGATCCGAATTTCTGAAAGTGGATAAAATGCACCTTCTGACATGCTCAGCCCATCCAAGTGCCTGTCCAGGGCTTAGCTTTTGATCATACTTAGGTGCAGTCCCAGCTCCTGGCTGACACATCATCACCCCTTCCCTAAGATCTATGAAACCTCCTGCCTTCGCCCAGGCGCTTGACTTCCCTAGCATTGTTCTTTGGGACCATTGAACCCTCCCGGGAGCAATGCCCAGTAAACCTGCATTTACCGGGTTTTAATTTGGTCTGATCTGGCCTTTTGCATTGGCAGAAACCTGTCAACCTATTGTAAGGAACAAATGGATTTACACATAGCTCCTTAGCAGTGATTGCCACCTGGCCGACTGTCCGGACTTGTTGAGTGGGAACATTGCTACCTGAGGCACAACACTTTAGAGACAAGACATTATAAAAACTGATCGTGGTGAGGTGTTGGGCCTAAAAGGGGCTTGGATGTGAGGCCCAGTGTAAGCTCCTGAGGCTGACTTGAGTTTAGGGCTCAGATGTGAGACCCAGTGTAACTCCTGAGCCTTGGCTAGAGTTTAGTGACCTGTCCCTGACTTGTAACCTCCGCATGGGGATGACTCAGCCAGACCTGATGTAAGATTGCCTCCTGCCTAGCTACCTGCCTGCTTGGTGGAATACTATTGGCCCTTAACTCCTCACGTCACCTTACCCTATCCTAAGATTCCCATCCCTACCTCAGTCCTATATAAGTTCCTGCCTCGACAGACTCCCAACTCAGTGTGTATTTTTTCCCCTGGTAATTAGTAGGGGGGGGGAGGGTCTGAGTCGTCGACACCATCCCTCTGAGTCCCCAGGAAGAGACCGGCTGGACCGTCCCTTCCCCCGCTCTTCCTGCTGGAGGACCCTGCAGACTGGTTATGTCCTCAGTAGTTAACCATGTGACACTTGTCCTCCCTGTGCAGCAGTCACTCCTGGGCTGGGGGAATCCCAGAACCCAAGTCCCCAGGAGCTCTGTCTGGTCTCAATATATCCCTTCCCCCTCTGCCCGTTCCTTTCCCCTTCTCCCTTGTCTTCTATGACCTGTCTTTGTCTATTTATTTGTTTGTTTGTTTTATGTGCATTGGTGTTTTGTCTGCATGTCTGTCTGGGTGAAGATCCTCTGGAACTGGAGTTACAGTTGTGAGCTGCTATGTGGGTGCTGGGAATTGAACCCAGGCCATCTCTCCTGCCTCTGTCTTTGCCTCTTATTCCCTGCCCTTTGTCCCTCTGGAGAAAATCATCTTTGTGCTGAGAACTTGGTCTTAGGGTGTCTTGTGCCAAATGCCGGTCCCTTCACTTGGCTCTTGGCTAAAGCTGTTACAACAAATGATAGTGATAATCGTGAAGCCCACCTGCTGACGTAATGCAAGTTCATTATCACAACAGAAGGGAGGAAGCAGGTGAGCCAGAGGGCTCAGAGGGGCCCTGATGAAGAGCAGACTGCAGGGAAAAAATATGACAGGGCCAGAGGTCTGTGACACACCACTAACACGCAGGGAAACCCAGCCAGCCAGACCAGCTGCTCCCTCCTCTGTGTTCCTGTCTTCAGGTCCCTGCTGTGTGACAAAAGTCTTAGGGGGATATGAATGCCTACTCACCCCACAGAGCAAACCTACTCATCTCAGGTAGGGAACAGAGATGGGAGATGTTGTTCTGTATATCTTTCTCTTATTGGTTGATGAATAAACACTGATTGGCCAGGCAGGAATATAGGCGGGGCTAGGAGAATTCAGGGAAGTGTATTCAGAAAGGCTGCAGCAGGTGAGCCTGGGAAGAGAGGACTCGAATCAGGCATTCTCCAGCAAGATAAGGTCATGTAGAAATACATAGATTAGTAGTTTTGGCTTAATAATTAAGGCAGAACTAGCCAGTAAGAAGCCCAACCCACTGGCCAACAGTTTCATAACTAATATAGCATCTGTGTGTTCATTTGGGGCAAGGTGGCTGGGGAACCAGGCAGGAAATCCTTAAACAGAACAGAAAATAAAACAAAGTAGGGATACCACCAAGGCCATATGTGAAACAGGAAATTTCACTGGGGTTACTTACAGAAAGCAGAAAGAACTCAAAAGACAGTTGCAACCCAAAAGCCCATGGTAGTATGGATGACAGCTCACAAAAGCTGGGAACCTGGATTGCTCTGCACAGCCTGCAGGCAGCCCAACAGGTAGGAAAGTGTGCTTCCCAGGCAACGCAGGTGGTCTGAGAGTGTCTCTCTGCAGTCCTTACAGCTTGTGTGTATGCTTGGGGACGGAGGGCTCTAGTGAATCTGGTCAGTTTCAGTGACTTCCAGAAGCTATTGAGTTGTTTACTCTTGAACTTCCTCGCAGGAACTTCTTCCCAATATCCTGTCTTAACTTCCCTCTAGAACACTTGTTGTTTCGCTTCCTCTTCAATCCTGTGTGTTAATGAGAGTCCCCTCAATATAGGTTTTAACCTCCCGAGAACGGCTATATAACAGCACCTCTCTCATGAGTCTTGGTGCCTGCTTGGAGTGGGAAGAAGGAGATGTGGGGGAGGAGTGACTGTCCTTCCTGCTTTCTGCTAAATATGATTAATGTTCTAAAGTGCCATGTTTAGGGTTAGTGTGCTCCAAACCCATCATACCTAAGATGCAAACCCCAGAATCCAAATAGCAATATAAGTGACTTTGAAGATTAATTTCAAATGCTTACATCTATGCAAAGAAATGAGTTTGTATTCTCTCACTAAAACAGCAGTCCCCTGAACACTTGAACATGTTCCCTAAGAAATGCCATTATCTATGAGTGCAGTTTTCATGTTGTTTGGTATTTATCTCATCTCTGATAACTGTTTTTTGTTTTGTTTTTGTTTGTTTTGATTCTCTCGTTCTCCATACAAGGCACTCAGGACTGCCTACAGAGGAAACTTGGGAGTTTCTGGGTTCCCTCCCTAGGCCATGCTGGAGAGCCATCAAGGAGTCTACTCCACAATTACCTCTGAACAACTCCCTGAACCTCGGCCAAGTAAGGAGGCTTCCAAGGAAAAGGCTGCCTTATACCTAGGTGCTCCATTCCAGAGGACCACTGGCGCTCAGGTATTCTAGCACAACGGAAAAGCAAAATTTGCTCCCTGGCACATTTTCCTGAGTGAGCCCCAGGCCTGGTCACCCCAGAGTCTGTTGTGTGTGGGCAACTTGCCCCTCTCTGGCTCCCCCATTCAAGACTCCAAGATTTCCTCATTTAAATTAAAGGAAACAGCTTCCTCCCAAGGGAAACATAAAGGTCCCACCGAGATTTGAACTCGGATCGCTGGATTCAGAGTCCAGAGTGCTCACCATTACACCATGGAACCCATATGGTACAGCTGACTCCTAGCTAATATTTCCTGGGCTGTGAATGGACTTTCCACCCTCTCTTCTTTCCTACTGACTGTTCTACTACTGTATTTCATCTTCACCTGCGAAAATGAGATGAAGTCCTCCCGACTCATAGCTAGGAAGGACTCCTTCCAGCGACTCATAGCTAGGAAGGACTCCTTCCAGCCGCCATCATCCGTCTCAGATTGCTACTCCTTCCTGTCCTCGTGACATTTCTTCCAATAAATAGCGTTAGTGTTCTTGACTTTTGCCATTTCCCCACCTCCCAGGAACAGGAGCAGGGTGTGGAAGCTCCTGCCTTCTTTGGCCACCCAGCAGCCACAATGGCCCTCCACCACTTCCTATACTATATAAAGTGGGTCAGTGTAGCGCCGGGGCTACAAAACTCTTCAAGGGTTCAGGCGAGGGCCTGAGGATTGAAATGAAAACAAAAGACAGCGGGTCACTCTTGCAAGGAGAATGCCATTTATTGCAACAAGAGGGAGCATTATATACCAGTTAGCAGGCACGGTAGAAAACTACCAATGTCAGAGGTTCACATTCCCAGGGCCCTCTGGCAATAAGGATCAGTGGATAACAGGAAGTTGCATTCAGGCTTCATTGGAAGGAGGGGAACAAGTATTAAGTTCCTAGTCACAAGCTGGTCAGCAGATCCCTTTGGGGGAAGAGTCCAACAGGTCAACAATGGAGGGGGAGTTTGGATGCAAGAGAATCTTCATATTTTCATCATATATACTCATGTATATACATTTGTGAATCTTTGATTTTGTGTTTCTTACAACAAATGTATGTTTAAAAAACAAAGTTAAATGCAAATGATTATATTAAAGGTTTGCATAAAACATTTAAGCTAGGGGCTGGAGAGATGGCTCAGCAGTTAAGAGCACTGCCTGCTCTTCCAGAGGTTATGAGTTCCATTCCCAGCAACCACATGATGGCTCACAACCATCTGTAATGAGATCTGGTGCCCTCTTCTGGCCTGTGGGCATACAGACATATGCTGTATACATAATAAAGAAATGTTAAAAAAAAGAAAAAGTTACAAAATATAAAACATTTAAGCTAGTGCTAATCTCAAAAATGTGAGAATATCACCAACCTAAATCATCATTGTCAAATTCATCAAAGCAAGCTTTATAATAAATGGTATACACCTGCTACCTTCTCCTAATGTGGGCTTCAAGAGGTCAGCATTGGCGGTGAGGAAGAGTTTTATAGTTCAGGAGGTTTCCAAATGGGGGATTTGACAGGCAAAATAGGTAGGGTCACAGAAACAACATAACAAGGCGGTCATAACAACTCTTTGAAACAAAGGTAGGGCTGCAAAATCGTCATTCTAAATTTTGAAATGGAAACATGGTTGCCATTCCCTGGAACCCGCAGTTCAGAACCATTTGTAGTTAAGGTTACAGGTGGGACATAGCCCAGTCCTTGAGAAACAGAGGTTTAATCATGAACAGGAAGAACCCTAGTTTGTCTTTATTATAAGATGTCTGTAAGAGATCAGTATCTGCTCAGGATCCCCCAAGACCAAGTTCTCATCACAAAGGAGATTTCTTTGCACCAGAGAAGGGGAAAAGAACAAGGGAGAAGAGCCATCTCTCTACCTCTCTCCCGTTTCTTTAAAAAGTCTTTGGGAGAAGTTGGTTGAAATTTGGCTTGAACACCCTTCTCAGTCAATGTCAAAGCTGGTTGGCCGGTGACTTGGACAGGAACTAGTGAGCCATCCATGCCAGGCTCGTTGAAGACATCTTTTATCTGCTGTTCAGTCGATAGTTGATATTCCTCTGACCACAATGAGACCTTGTGGTCTCATACTTAGAACGTTTAAGAGAATGTAGCAGATCAGGGAGGTTCCAATGAGGACTGTCAAGATGAAGACAACAAGACCACAGCGTGGTCCCTCACTCAAGTAAGAGAAATAAAAGGAAAACAGGATGGCCAGAATGAACATTCAGCTCAGAAGGGGTTTTTGTTTGTTCGTTGTTTTGTTTTTTGAGGCAGCGTGTGGTGGTATTTTGTTTACGATCTAACAAATAGAGTTTACCTGAAGATCAGAGTGCAAAGGTAGCCACACTAGTTACCGTAGAGAGCAGATAGTTTAGTGTTGCCCAACTTTAATCCCAACACTAAGGAGCCGGAGACAGATGGATCTCTGTGAGTTCAAGGCCACCCTGGGTTACAGGAGAGGGAATCAGTCTAAAAGGGAAACAGAGCTCACACCTTTAATCCCAACACTAGGGAGGTGGAGACAGGAGTGATATGGCTGGGTGGAGAGAGGAATATAAGGCAGCAGGAGACAGCTCAGTGCAGTTGGGAGCAGCCTGAGGCTCACCCTTTCGGTCTGAGCATTGGTAGAGGTAAGAACTCTCTAGAGGCTGACTGCTTTGCTTTTCTGAGCTTCAGCTTGAACACCAATATCTGTCTCTGTTTTTTTATTATTATTATTCATGCTATATGCTTTATGCTTTAATCCAGTTAGCCATGATTTACCTCAGTGGTCTTTTTCTGGAATCTGTGGGATTAGTACTATGTAACAAAAACTTACTTTTACTGCTTTTGACAAAGCTAAAGCCAGACATTAGCTGTGAAATAGATTTTATTCTGTGATTCCTAAACACAGCTGCGACAGTTGTGATTTAGACATGAGTACCCAGGTCTTCCAAAGGAGAGAGGGGAAGCAGAGGGCAGGGCAGGGAGGGGTCGTCACCAGTGGAAGCCCACAAAGGTTTTAGCAGTGGTAAACGCCTTTCTCATCAGGCTGCTGTGGCTGTGCTCCCTGCACATTACACTTTGTCTCCTCCTCCCTGGACACTTCATCGTGGGCTCCGGAGTCATTGTAAATCTCTGGCACACTTTTCCACTCTCAAGCACATTAGCGCTATAGAAGAACCTAGAACCACAGCAGCATGTCTGCTCTACATGGCAGCCAGAGTTGCACAAGGTGGAGATTTACTTTCAAGAATGAATCCACAAGGGATGGTGTGGGCTTTTTCTCCTGGCCCCCTCAGCGTTTTTCCTAGCACTTGAAAGATTTCTGAGTGGCACCCGCTTGCTTTCCTATCAGTAATGTTTGCTTTAAATCATTTTCCATAAGAAGAGGCAGAGGGAAGGGGAATGGATAAAGAGGAAGAGAAGGAGGAAGGGAAGGGTGTGGACAGGTGGAGAGAGTGATAGAACCTAGGTAGTGAGGCAGAAAAGGAATGCCCAGGAGCTCCCCACCCAGTGCAGTCCTGAAACGCCAGGATTAACCTCCACCACCGCTGTCACTAGGTTGGGTGAGTAGGTTGGGCATTGGCCCGTAGCAGCAAGAAACAAATTTCCCCTTAGCATTAGATCCAGGAATCTGCAACATTCATCTTCCTAAGTCTCTACAAGTAGACAGTGTCTAGTGTCTAAAAACCGGAAAGGTTTTTTTCTGCTGAAACCCATTTGCTTTCTTCCCTCCCTAAGCACAATGCAGAGCAGAGCATCTAGTCAGGGAGGGGTGATGGCTGAGTCTCCACCCAGAGCGAGGGCAGTCTTAGGATGACGACCTGCTGTAAGGAGTGAGATGGCCGGAGAAGTGGAGCCAGCATGCCAGTTGCTCCCTGGAGCCAAAGCCACATAAGGAACCTGAAGATGATGTTCACCACACACCTGAATCTCCACCAGCAACCCAAGGCTTCAAAGAAGAGTTGTGCACAAGGCTAGGCTGGAACAGGGCCCAGGGGAGTTTCCTTGTGACCTGGCTTCAGAGCCCAGAGGGTCACGGGACCCCAGAAGAAGAAAGGTGCCAGCAAGCAGAACAGAGGCTGTAGGGGCTGGGGATGAACCTAACTACACTGGACACCTCCTAGTCTTCAGTTTCTAATTGACGTGGGATGTCTTTCTGTATACTTGGAATATGTGTTGCCTTTATTGGTTGGTGAATACAGCTCTTTTGACCTATGAAAGGGCAGAATACAGCTAGTTAGTCGGGAAATCCAAACAGAGGTAGAGAAAGAAAGAAGGTGTGTAGGAGTGAACCCCACAAAGTCAGGGAGATGCCGTGTAGCCGCCAGGAAGGCAGGATGTGATGAGGTACCAAGCCACGATCCATTGTGGTAAAATATAAACTATTATACATGGGTTGACTTGTATGTAGAGCTAGCCAGTAAGAAGCCTGAGTCATTGGCCAAGCAATTATATTCAATATAAGCCTCAGTGGTTATTTAGGAACTGGCAGTTAGGATGGGGAAAAAAAGTCCATTTACAACTAATCCCTACTTTCAACATTTATTTATAAAGAGACTATCATATGTTGTCCTTCCCTAGTATCTGGTGGCTAGGATTCGGAGCTTTCACTGGTCAGGAAAGCCCTTTTAATTCAGGACCTCCCTCCTGAACCCTCGTAGGTGTGGTCATGCACACTTAAGGTCTCAAACACAAGAATGCAACCCTAGGATTGCACCAAGAACCAGCCAGGCTTATGGGCTATCCAGGGGAATCCAGTGGAAGCAGAACTCTCAACTCCACTCTACCCATCAAATCACTTTCAGGGTGTTTACCCCCAAACTGCAATGCCAATTGCTCTCTTCCCAAAGCGAGAATGAGAACGAGGTGCTGGGGAGATGTTTCAGAGGTTAAAAGTGCTTTTTGTTCTTGTAGAATGACCCAGGTTCAGTTCCCAGCACCCATATGGTGACTCACAGCTGCTTGCTCCAAAGGACCTGGTTTGCAGGCAACAAACACACGCGTGATGCACATATGTGCAGGCCCGCAGGCAAAATGTCTAAATTGAATTATTCTCCTCTCGTGTATTCCGTCCCAGTCACAGATTTACCTCCATCCCTTCCTCCCTCCCTCCCTCCCTCCCTCTCTCCCTCCATACACATATTTTTTAAAAGAATATGGCTTGTTTCTCTTCTTTCCAGGACAATTTATCATATGTTACCAAACATAAAAATAAGCTAATAGTTTGATTTAGAAATTGCTTTTTCAGATTTTATTGTATGTGTGATATATCTACATGTTACATATTATACATTACAATATAAGTATCATATAGAGAGAGCACAGATGAGGGCAATTTTAAATATTTACTAATCCATCATACCACAAAAGAATCTGCAATTTTTGAAAGCCTGGTATGGTGATGGGACCAGTGTTGTGGACGGATTCTTTTTTACACTTTTGAAAAATGTATGGGTATGGGAGTCTCAATGGCATGCATGCCTTTATACCACAAGTGTGGTTAGCACCCAGGAAGGCCAGAAAAGGGTTCTGCATTGAGTACAAAGGAGAAAGCTCTTGGAAGTTATAGTGGGGCCCAAGGCCACAGGCTCCTGCTACAATGTCTCCCTCCATGCTAACTGTAGCCTCAAACTATGAGCCAAATTTAGCCCTACCTTCTTTAAGTTGCTCTTCTCGGATATTTTGTTATAGAAAGTAAATGCAAGGAGCCATTTGGGGACAACCTGCAAAGAAAGAACTTCTACCTAGCCTGCTTCGAAATGCAGAAATTTAGGTACAGGAAACCTCAGTGATTTGTTTAAAGTCTTCACAGCCACTGAGGCTCCCCTCAAGTCTGCTTCAAGTTTCAGGTTCTCATCAGGTATTGGCAGCTTCCCAGAAGCATGAAGTTTTTAAAACCAAGTCTGGAGATTGGATCCAGGGGTTGGGTTGACAAAGTGTAGCTAGAAAGTGGGGTTCTGGAGCTGCTCCGGAACCAGCATTTGTGGAAAGGAAATAAACCACAAACTTTTCAGGATGTTAATGTTCTGACTAAGACTTAAGCCTTTAGGTGCAGAGGGGGCTTTCTCAACGTTCTTACAGAAAATCACGAAGGTCACTGGCTATGGGCAAGTGAAGCGCAGGGACATGAAATGACCAAACTTTAGTTATTTGTCCCTGAATGCCGGAACCAATCACACCTCCAAACAAATCTGTAGAAAAGGATTTACAGACGGTTAGGAGCCATCCCGCAGGCGCTAGGAACTAAACTCGGGTCCTCTGCGACAGTATTCTTAACAGTCTCCTGCTGTCTGTTTCCCAGGTGAACTTCGCTGTTCTTCTGGGTCCCTTCAGAGATGGAAGAGAAGCAAGATGCAATGCAAGACTCACCTAAGAGGAAGAAGGAGACTGTCATTTGAGCACAGCTCTGGGGAAATTAAACGTAGGTATTACAAGCCTGCGGTAAGACAGGTGGAGATAGGAGCTCCGGACCAGGAGCGAGGCGTTTGCTTGAGAGCCGAAGCTGTCTGTGGCGTTAGAGCGAAGTGAGGTCGATGGAAATTGGGGGTGCATGAGGCTGCCATGTCCGAACCCGCGTGTGGGAGAGAGCACCGGTCGATGGGCGCAGGGGAATCGTGTGTGTCCGGGAAGTTCCGCCAGCATGTGTGGCCGTGGTCGTGTGTTCAGAGCTCAGGGCTCGTGGGGCTGTGTCGGGGCTGGGGGTGGAAAAGATCACTTACCCGGCAGGGAAAACACTGTTATCCGAAGGGGGTTTTCTAGAGACTCAGCGCAAACGGGGTGTGCTGATAACCTGCGACTTCCACAAATGCAGGGAAGTACGCTGCATAGTTTGTATTATTTGGGGCTGCGTTCAGGCTTTCGCCTTATAATTTGTCACAAAAGATAGTTGAGAGAAAATGAACTGGTAAAAGTTTAAGAGGGTTTTGTTTGATGACCTCGCCTGCCATTGTTTAGGACGCAGCTCGGACCCAAAGGGACAGTGGAGATCGGAAGGGAGTTTGTGTGTGATTGCTGAGAGTCAAACCTGGATTCTTCGAAGAGCTCTTGTCTGAGACCCACCCCCCCCCCGCCCCTGCTCCTTATTAGAGAGTATCTCGGTGAAAATCTTGGCGAGAGCATTAAGTAACGCGAGTTGTTCTCACACAAAATGATTTTTGCGCTGCTGAGACATCGGAACCCTTCCTCAAAACTTCTTCCTCGAAAGCTACAGTTCAATACCGAAACCTCAGGACAGAATCCCTAGGGATGAAAACCTTTTTGGTTGTATATTGAGACAGGTAGCTCTGGCTGGCCTGGAGCTTGCTATATAAATCAGGCTGATATCGAACTCACAGAGATCCTCCTGCCTCCGACGCCGGAATACTGGAATTACAGGCTTGTGCCGACTTTAACCCCAAGTCACTCTCTTCCCTGTATCTTCCAAGCGGGCGTTACCGTGTAGCTCAGTCACAGTCTAAAGCAGACTGGCGGAAGCCTCTGGGCCCGGCACTCTTCCCTGAACAAATATACGTTAGAGTACCACCGTCCTATCCTGTTTTTCCTGCCTAGAATATCGGTGTGAAGCCATCTCCTGTCATGACAATAACAACTCCAGGTTAAGGGTGTCTAGATGGAAACAGAAAGAACTTAGACATAATTCAACAGGTGTGGTAGCGAAATTCGTTATTCCACATTTGACATCTGTTAGGTTATCTCTAGACTCCTTGATTCATAAGTGCTAGTGCCACCGTTAGTCAATTCCTCTGTTAAAATTTCCAGCAAATAACTGCTCACTCAGGTAGCAAGAACACAAGTTGCATTAGCCGGGAATCGAACCCGGGCCTCCCGCGTGGGAGGCGAGAATTATACCACTGAACCACCAATGCTAAAATTCTATATCTTTTGGTAGTGGTCATACACACTTTTGATTCCAGCATTCGTGAGGCAGAGGCAGGAGGACCTCTGAGTTTGAAGCCACCTTGGTCTAAAGAGCGAGTTCCAGGACAATCTCAAAAGCTACAGAGAATCCTGTTTCAACAACAAAAACAAAAACAAACAAACAAAAAAAAAAGAAAGAAAAAGAAAAAAGAAAGCTTTGTGACAGCACATCAAGAAAAGATAAGTCAAGAATCTCAATGAATATTTATTGAAAAACAGTAATGTAAACCAACGTTTCCTCAAGACTTTTTGTGTTTTCAAATGTTGAAGAGGAAACACAGGTCCTCCTACATGCTAGGCTGTGATACATCACACCCAGCAAAGAGAAGTTTCCTTATATTGCTACTTAAGTATTTGGTCCTAGACGTTTGGCTGCCCCCAAGAAAACACCAAAGATGAAAAAACCAAACACACACAAAATATAAACTGCATTGGCCGGGAATCGAACCCGGGTCTCCCGCGTGGGAGGCGAGAATTCTACCATTGAACCACCAATGCAACTGTTGCGATGACTGCTGACTGTACAACTAAAAAAAAAAAAGGTAACAGACTCCTTTCCATCTCTTTGCACTAAATGATAGACAGCAATGTAGCCCAATATCTCCGTAATTGTAAATACAGTAGTACCTTTTGTATTTCCCAGGGTTCAGAAAGGGAATGGCCTCCTACGTGCTAGGCAGTGAAAAAGCCAAGTCCTCTTCCCTCTCGATCTGGTCATGAGTTTTGGGACATGACCTACTGAATTTCTTCTACTTCTGCCTGCCATGACCTTGAAGTGCCAGCTCTTTACAAGGGAAATACTAATTCCACTTCAAACTCGTGGCTCTGCAAACTCCAACCCCCCTGAAGTTTACCAGACCTAAGTAAGGATACCACCCGATGCGACTTGGTAACCCAATGAGTTTGGCAATTGCTTTCCGTAGCGTCCTCCTCACGAAGCTCCATGGAAGACTGGCCAGAGAGACCTAGATTTCTACCGTGCTACTTGTTCGGGGAGAAGAAAATCTTGATAGTTCCAGCGATCCCTCGACCCCCGCCTCTCCTCCTATCTTTACAAAGCCTGCTTTTCCTTTTAGCAGGTGATGAAAAGAATCCAATGCCTGCTGTGAGTGGAACGGAAGCGAGGATGTAGCCGTGGGAGCCGCTCTGGTTAGGGTGACTGCCCAGCACTCTTCATCTGTGTCTCTCAGGCTGACCGGGACTCAAGAAACCAGCAGTTCCGTCTCACCCGAAGCACAGCTACAGAGCAGTTGGAGCAACGGAGAACCCAAACAGAAAAGGCCCGACCAAAGGGAAAGGGCTCTTTCCACACGTGGACATCAGGGTGACTCAGATGAGTCACTGCTGAGCGGGTCCCACTTTCCCAATCTCCCCTGGTTTTCCAGTTTACTAAAAGCAGAATCATCGACTATTGCTTTCTCATTTTATTAAACGTTTTAATTACACATACTCTTATATTACAAGTAGAAACAGAATGATTGTAAGAAGTCTTGAGTGTGCAGTGTCTTTTCACCTACAGTTATAGTTAATTGCTGGGTAGTTCCAAATCAAATTGAAGATTCCCATGCTGTCTGTCCTTTGGGGAATGTAGTAATTACAGTGCCTATCGCTATGCTAAGGGAGATTTTTAAGAACGGGAGCTTGAGTTCTAAAGATTGTATTTCTGGTTGCGATTAAATAAATGCACGCTGCTGACGAGTGTAGGGGCCACTCCTCCATTTGGTGCATTTTTAGACAACACCTTTTCACTTTTAAGAATAAGCTGCTTTGGTGGGAGGGTCCGGGAGGAGGGGAGGAAAAGGGAGAGGGACCTGGAACTGACTTGTGAAGCAACCTTGTTTCTAATCTAAATTTAAACTGAAAAATAAAAAAAAAATAAAGAAAAGAAAAAAAAAGCTGCTTACGGTGGCGGGCAGATGGTGACATTGCCCTGCCTTTCCATCTGTACCGAAAACGAAATCTGTGTCAGGACTCTCCCATGACTTCACTAGTTGAGATAGCAGCAGCGTGCATCTGCAGGTAAGTCTCCCTGGTTGGTGCTTCCTACCCCTAAATTTGGGTTTTCACTTTTGTTAGTACAATAGACTTTTGGACAGCTTGCCTTTTGTGCTAAAACGGTAACCAAATTGCTAGTCTGTTACTCTCTATGTAAGCCATGCTGGCCCCATTTCACCGAAGGATGTGCCTGCCTTGGGGTGCTGAGATTAAAGGTGCATACCGCCCCCTTTTCCCGAGAAGTTCTTAGCATGAGTGTAGTTCATAGTTCAAAAACGTTTCATTTAATGTTTTGCGATTTTTTTCAACTTCCTGTTAAGATCTTATTGGTGGTAAGTATAGCAGAGGTTCTCAACCTTCCCAATGATGTGACCCTCTAATACAGTTGCTCATGTTGTGGTGACCCCAACCATAAAATTATTTTCGTTGCTACTTCATAACTGTAGTTTTGCTGCTGTTATGAGTTGTAATGTAAACATCTGTGTTTTCCAATGGTCTTAGTCCACCCCAGGGGTGATTTGACCACTAGAGGGGTCGCAACCCACACGTTGAGCACCACTTCTTCAGTGGTAAGGTGTGCTGCAGATTTTCTGCTACCTGTCTGATACAAGTGGCTATTTAGGGGTTTAAGATAATTGAACATGCCGGGCGTTTGTGGCGCACGCCTTTAATCCCAGCGCTCGGGAGGCAGAGGCAGGCGGATCTCTGAGAGTTCGACGCCAGCCTGGTCTACATGGGGGTGACTCAGCCAGACCTGATGTAAGATTGCCCCCTGCCTAGCTACCTGCCTGCTTGGTGGAATACTATTGACCCTTAACTCCTCATGTCACCTTACCCTATCCTAAGATTCCCATCCCTACCTCAGTCCTATATAAGTTCCTGCCTCGACAGACTCCCGACTCAGTGTGTATTTTTTCCCCTGGTAATTAGTAGGGGGGAGGGTCTGAGTATTTTTTCCCCTGGTAATTAGTAGGGGGGAGGGTCTGAGTCGTCGACACCATCCCTCTGAGTCCCCAGGAAGAGACCGGCTGGACCGTCCCTTCCCCCGCTCTTCCTGCTGGAGGACCCTGCAGACTGGTTATGTCCTCAGTAGTTAACCATGTGACACTTGTCCTCCCTGTGCAGCAGTCACTCCTGGGCTGGGGGAATCCCAGAACCCAAGTCCCCAGGAGCTCTGTCTGGTCTCAATATATCCCTTCCCCCTCTGCCCGTTCCTTTCCCCTTCTCCCTTGTCTTCTATGACCTGTCTTTGTCTATTTATTTGTTTGTTTGTTTTATGTGCATTGGTGTTTTGTCTGCATGTCTGTCTGGGTGAAGATCCTCTGGAACTGGAGTTACAGTTGTGAGCTGCTATGTGGGTGCTGGGAATTGAACCCAGGCCATCTCTCCTGCCTCTGTCTTTGCCTCTTATTCCCTGCCCTTTGTCCCTCTGGAGAAAATCATCTTTGTGCTGAGAACTTGGTCTTAGGGTGTCTTGTGCCAAATGCCGGTCCCTTCACTTGGCTCTTGGCTAAAGCTGTTACAACAAATGATAGTGATAATCGTGAAGCCCACCTGCTGACGTAATGCAAGTTCATTATCACAACAGAAGGGAGGAAGCAGGTGAGCCAGAGGGCTCAGAGGGGCCCTGATGAAGAGCAGACTGCAGGGAAAAAATATGACAGGGCCAGAGGTCTGTGACACACCACTAACACGCAGGGAAACCCAGCCAGCCAGACCAGCTGCTCCCTCCTCTGTGTTCCTGTCTTCAGGTCCCTGCTGTGTGACAAAAGTCTTAGGGGGATATGAATGCCTACTCACCCCACAGAGCAAACCTACTCATCTCAGGTAGGGAACAGAGATGGGAGATGTTGTTCTGTATATCTTTCTCTTATTGGTTGATGAATAAACACTGATTGGCCAGGCAGGAATATAGGCGGGGCTAGGAGACAAGGAGAATTCAGGGAAGTGTATTCAGAAAGGCGGCAGCAGGTGAGCCTGGGAAGAGAGGACTCGAATCAGGCATTCTGCAGCAAGATAAGGTCATGTAGAAATACATAGATTAGTAGTTTTGGCTTAATAATTAAGGCAGAACTAGCCAGTAAGAAGCCCAACCCACTGGCCAACAGTTTCATAACTAATATAGCATCTGTGTGTTCATTTGGGGCAAAGTGGCTGGGTTTGTATTTACTATACATATTTTCCTCACACAAAAATAGCAGTCCCAGCCGTGCGTTGGTGGTGCATGCCTTTTATCCCAGCACTCGGGAGGCAGAGGCAGGCAGATCTCTGTGAGTTCAAGGCCAGCCTGGTCTACAGAGTGAGTTCCAGGACAGCCTCCAAAACAATACAGAGAAACCCTGCCTCGAAAAACCAAAAAAAAAACAAAAAAAAAAAAAAACAAAACAGCACTCCCCTGAACACTTGAACATGTTCCCTAAGAAATGCCATTATCTATGAGTGCAGTTTTCATGTTGTTTAGTATTTATATCATCTTGATAACTTTGTTTTGTTTTGTTTGTTTGTTTGTTTTGATTCTCTCGTCCTCCATACAAGGCACTCAGGCCTGCCTGCAGAGGAGACTTAGGAGTTTGTGGGTTCCCTCCCTAGGCCATGCTGGGGGGGGGGGGTTAGAGCCACCAAGGAATGTATTCCACAATTACCTCTGAACAACTCCCTGAACCTCAGCCAAGTAAGGAGGCTTCCAAGGAAAAGGCTGCCTTATACCTGGCGCTCAGGTATTCTAGCACAACGGAAAAGCAAAATTTGCTCCCTGGCACCCAAGGGCAGCAGCTGTGGCCACATTTCCTGCTACAATTCCTGAATAAACTTGAGGTCCCAGAGCCCCAGGCCAGGTCGCCCCAGGCACCCAAGGGCAGCAGCTGTGGCCACATTCCCTGCTACAACTCCTGAGTAAACTTTAGGTCCCAGAGCGCCAGGCTAGGTCGCCCCAGAGTCTGTTGTGTGTGGGCAACTTGCCCACATTCAAGACTCCAGGATTTCCTCATTTAAATTAAAGGAAACAGCAAACATAAAGGCCCCACCGAGATTTGAACTCGGATCGCTGGATTCAGAGTCCAGAGTGCTTACCATTACACCATGGAACGCACATGGTAAAGCTGACTCCTGGCTAATATTTCCTGGGCTGTGAATGGACTTTCCACCCTCTCGTCTTTCCTACTGACTTTTCTACTACTGTATTTCATCTTCACCTGCGAAAATGAGATGAAGTCCTCCCGACTCATAGCTAGGAAGGACTCCTTCCAGCCGCCATCATCCGTCTCAGATTGCTACTCCTTCCTGTCCTCGTGACATTTCTTCCAATAAATAGCGTTAGTGTTCTTGACTTTTGCCATTTCCCCACCTCCCAGGAACAGGAGCAGGGTGTGGAAGCTCCTCCCTTCTTTGGCCACCCAGCAGCCACAATGGCCCTCCACCACTTCCTATACTATATAAAGTGGGTCAGTGTAGCGCCGGGGCTACAAAACTCTTCAAGGATTCAGGCGAGGGCCTGAGGATTGAAATGAAAACAAAAGACAGCGGGTCATTCTTCGAGTCATTCTTGCAAGGAGAATGCCATTTATTGCAACAAGAGGGAGCATTATATACCAGTTAGCAGGCACGGTGGAAAACTACCAAGGTCAGAGGTTCACATTCCCAGGGCCCTCTGGCAATAAGGATCAGTGGATAACAGGAAGTTGCATTCAGGCTTCATTGGAAGGAGGGGAACAAGTATTAAGTTCCTAGTCACAAGCTGGTCAGCAGATCCCTTTGGGGGAAGAGTCCAACAGGTCAACAATGGAGGGGGAGTTTGGATGCAAGAGAATCTTCATATTTCCATCATATATACACATGTATATACATTTGTGAATCTTTGATTTTGTGTTTCTTACAACAAATGTATGTTTAAAAACAAAGTTAAATGCAAATGATTATATTAAAGGTTTGCATAAAATATTTAAGCTAGTGCTAATCTCAAAAATGTGAGAATATCACCATCCTAAATCATCATTGTCAAATTCATCAAAGCAAGCTTTATAATAAATGGTATACACCTGCTACCTCCCCCTATGTGGGCTTCAGTCAGCATTGGCAGTGAGGAAGGTTTTTATAGTTCAGGAGGTTTCCAAATGGGGGATTTGGCAGGCAAAATAGACAGAGTTACAGAAACAACATAACAAGGCGGTCATAGCAACTCTTTGAAACAAAGGTAGGGCTGCAAAATCGTCATTCTAAATTTTGAAATGGAAACATGGTTGCCATTCCCTGGAACCCGCAGTTCAGAACCATTTGTAGTTAAGGTTACAGGTGGGACATAGCCCAGTCCTTGAGAAACAGAGGTTTAATCATGAACAGGAAGAACCCTAGTTTGTCTTTATTATAAGATGTCTGTAAGAGATCAGTATCTGCTCAGGATCCCCC